TTACGGTCCCACTATAAAATGGGTATTGCTCGAATTCCAAAGTGACCGACGCATAGGCGTCAGTTTATTGGCGCTTAGGTGCCAACTTAGGTGCCTATTTCCAGAGAGATCGATGTTAGTGTCGGGGAATTCTGGTTTTAATACAGATTTCGAGCGACATAAGGTAAGGGCTTGGTGTTTCTTCCTTCCTTATTCTTCGACGAGCATCCCGATAAAGGAGAAAAGAGTAAAAAAGAGACGGATTTCAATGATTTGGAGTGATTTCTGAGTCAGATCATAAAAAAAAAATGGGGACCGTGCCTGTAAATTTCTGTGTAGAGAGAAAACTTCTGTGAATTCTTTATAAATATTTTCTGAATTTTTATAGTGAAATTTTTGATGGTGTGACTCTGTAATTTTTTCTCGTTCTTAGTTTTTTCCACGTAAATTATCACGTGCTTTTCTGATTGTTTTGATTGTGCTTTCTACGAGAGTTTGTTCTGATTTTCTCGAATTAGTGCAATCTCGTTATTCCACGGTGTGGCTTAGTTTCTTATTGATCCTAAGCCCCGATAAATTTGAGAATTGTTCTTGTATTTCCCTATCACCTCATGGTCCAACTGAGTTGAGAAGGGAACCATAAGAGACCCTTTTAGAGTTGTTTGCTATATAGCTCCAACCTTTAAATGCAACCTTAATCAAGGTCAGACTTTTTCAAGAGAGACAATTGCCACTAAACCTCAAAGTCGGAAGGGATTCCCTTATGACATAGAAAAGAGGTTTGCTCCACGACGGATGTGATGACCTTTGATGAACCCTTCTTAAGCTTGGCCAGGTAATTATCTAGTACTTCTTAGGCTTCTATTGATATAATTTTTATGATGGATGATCAATTTAATGTTGTCATTGTTTTCTATTATAGATTTCTTGATATATCAATTCATTAAAAAAGAAACTCTACGGAGAAAATTAAATTGCACCAATTTATTTCAATGACGAACGTCCTAAAACATATCTATAGTGTAAAACTCTTGTCTAATCATCTCTAAATGTGTATTATTGATCACAACTCATGTTTAAATCATTTGGGGTTGGACACCTTTAAAGAGGTTATATGTCCATCAAGGTAAAACAAATTAATATGGTTTACCTATTTTTTAAGCTTTTCAAGCAATTAATTTCTACGAATTAGCCAAGACATTATTAGTATTCCTAAAGTGCATCTTATTTTCTTAGCATTTCATTACACTTCTCATATCATATGTATGATGTACAGGAAAATATTTGAATAACATGAATTGTGAATTATGAAAATTAAAACTTTTTTGGCAGATATGAGCTGAAAGCACATGAAGTTTAAACCATGTGATAAAATAATGATGTGTTTGAAATTAGGAAGGATTCTTCAAGGTATAATTAAAAAAATGAGAGAAAGACTTTAAGATTTTGTAACTTGTAGAAACTAAAACTGTGAAAATAATAGTGACCTTGAATTTGGAATTTTTTTTTCAAAACTATACAAGAAAATAAATATGAGAAAGATAATCATTTAAAATTTTGCAACTAGTTGGAACCACCGCTTATAAATTAAAAATTTCAAGAATTTCTAAAATTAATGCAGTCTTCAATATGACCAATTTGAACTTATTCCTCGCATTCTTCTATCTTTCCAACTCCATGTTGAATATAAATCCAACATTTTGCCATGAAAATATATACAATATGTTCGTTAAGTTAATTCTAAATAATGAAATTGTTTCAACCATTGATACTGCATTCCAAAAGTATTATGGGCGTTGACATAAGAGTAATTTATTATTATTATTATTATTGATGTCACATTGTAAATATCAAGAAGGCTGACGCCTTCAAAGCTTTTTTGTTTAATAAACATCATAATTTGAGGCATTTGAAAGGGCATTTTACTTAACGAAGATTTCATATTCATTTTCAAACTATAAGTTATTGTTGGAGGTGGAGTTCCTTTGAGCACTAAATTCAACAGAAATGATCTTCATGCATAGGCACTTAGCATGAGGTATGAATATTCTTTACTTGGTGAGTTCATTTTATCACGAACCGGCCCGGAACGTAGAATTAACCAAGGCGGGTACAAACCGTGTGAATTAATATTTCGATGTTCATTGTCTATAACTAGCTATTAACAGAAAAAGAGTCATTACTTAAATTATATTTATTCAATATATTTAAATTTACCTCGTTACTGGTTGTCCATGTCTTCTATAAATATTTTATATTTAGCACTCATCGTTTAATCATTTTAATTAAACCTGAAATGTTAATTTAAAACAGCAGTAAGATTAAACAAAACTAGTGAATACTCATACTCTTAAACTACAGTAATATAAGAAAAAAAATAATATGTATGCCGGTTAGCTTTTAATAAATCAACATAAACATATGATGTTATTCAAAGAAACTTAATTTATTAATAGCATATCAATATTATTATACATCTGTACAATTATCACAGGAACACTGTCTAAAAATTGAATAACTTACGATACTTCAATATTAATATCTTTTTACATTTACATGCACGGGTATCATAACGTTCCCCCACTGGTACCATAAAAGAGTGACTCCATTATAGTTAGTCATGCACATACAAGCAGAAAATATAAATAGATCATTTATGAATTTAAAACATTCAATTCAATATACTCTATATAGCATATACCAATGCACACACATGCAAACAGTAAATATAAACATATTATTCATGTATTCATCGCATTCAATTCAATATACTCAATATAATATATAACAATGCATATACATTCATAACAATGTGACTAATAAAGGACAAAATATTTAAATCAAAATAAAACCTATACAAGTATCATTATCTACCAACTTAAAAGAATGGAGAAAAACCAAAATATTACCACAGATTAAAATCACAAGTATTCATCTTAATGATAGACGATTTGCTTGCTCTTAATTTGTATTACTTTTATCAAATTATCACCAATAAAATATAAAATATTCAATTATCACTTAATTGTGTTTTAATTTAATTATGAATTATTATCCTATCACATTGTTTTAAATAGAGTTTCAATACTTTAAACTTTAAGTTTAATTATTGTAATTAAAATAATAATAAATATTATTAATTTATACAAAAATATTTTTAAAATTAAGACCCTTATATATATATATTGAATAACTAAATAGACTTACCTTTATCCTGATCAAGAAACCTATTCCCGCACATGAGCCCCTTTTTTCTCGGCATGCGATACCTAGATCATCTTCTTAATGAATTGCATGAGAGCTTCTCCTCCACCCGATCCTGTTTGCATGCGAAAGCTGCTTTGGATCGCACGAGAGCTCCTCTGTAGAGCCGCTGCAACGTCTGCTCCTTTGTTGCTCAACACTGATGTCGAGACCTCCTGCCTCTTTTTTATGTGCAATGCTTGGATTCTCCTTTGCACCCCCCTCGAAGCTCGACGCCAACAGTTCCCCAAGTTTCCTCGTCGCTGGCTAGAAGAAAACCCTGACTCAGGCTTGATGTCTCGAGTGCCACTCGACTCCTAGGTAAGTTAGCTCGCTTCTACCATCCCCCTAAGTGTGGATTTATACACAAAAGTGTCTCTTCAGTTTTCCCGAAACCTCTCGCCTCATCTCCTCCTCTTCGGCTTCCCGACTGTTCAATTACTCTCCCTCCACTGACTGCCCAACTCCTCACTTCTTTTCCTTCAGTTCCTCGTTTCTTTTTCCCCAAGTAATTGAAGCAAGTCTTCGTTTCCACTCCCCCGATTAACTGAAACAGGATTTCACACTTAGTTGTTATTTTTCCTAAAAATCTTCATATTAGCATTAAAGTGGTTCCTAATTTTTGTCAAATTGATCAAAACTAAATTTTCAACTATGATGTAAAATTTTCAATGGCTCAATTTTTTCGTTTAAAATGTTTCACTTAAGTTCATCCATTTGGTTAATCATTATTATTTGAGATAGGTAATTCACATTTTCAAGTTTTCATAAAAACGAAATGAATAATTGTTTATATGGTGATCTTTTAAAGTATGAATTTGCAACCTAAATTTTGGTTCCATACATCACATCATCTATTTGTATTAGAAACCCTAGATCTCCATGCATCCAGTATCAAACACGCATGGACGAAAGACTTGTATAACCAAACTAGGATGACAATCAAGGTCTCGAATGAAAGGAGACGAAAATGTAATATCACAAACAAAAGAGGATTCTTTGGTTTTAAAATTTCCACTGACTCAATTTTTTTAGTTCCAAAATTTTCTCTAAATTTCTTCGATTTTAGAGTCCTTATCATTTGAGATATAGATTACCCACATTTTAGGTTTCATAAAAACAAAGTGAATAATGGTTTGATTGATGGTCTTTTGTAGTGCAAACTTCCAATCAAAATTTTATTTCCATATATCACACACTAGTAGTGCTAGAAACCCTAGGCCTCTCAGCGACCAATATTAAACATGCACACACCAAAGAATTGTGGAACCAGACAAGGATAACACAATCAAGGTCATGAATGAAAAGAGATGAGAAAAAATTTTTTTGCCAGTCATGCCAAAATATGTTAATGAGAAGAACAAGAAAAAGAGTTGGGTAGTAAAGATAGAGACCTTAAGAAGAGAAATTAAGAAATATATTCAATTTAATTTATCAAACAATGATCACTAAGGCCCCAAATCACGTATTCATTGAACTCACAAAAGTACAAAAGTTAAAAAATAAATATTCAACTTCAGATAATAATTAAACTAAATCTTATCTTAAAAACTCAAATTTATACCTAACATTAATCAAAAAGAAAAAATTATTAAACAAAATTAAAAAAAGTCTACAATCCAAATAAATTAAAAAGTACTGGAATTAAATCTAAACCTAATTTATAATTCCAAATGAGTTGTGTTGAGAAGAATATAAAAGAAGATAAGAAGCCTAAAATGGCTAAACTAGAGATGCAAAATAGACTATAATTCATAAAGATCAAAGAGCAACTGTACCTATTCTTACAGCTTCTCTTGCATTTCTTATCCATGTTTGAGCATGTTCTGATGCCTCGCTAGCCATCTTTTGCAGCTGTGATAAAGGACAAAATAGATTACTTAACCCTTTCTAAGCATTCTCATATCAAGTGATTTGGAGAGAGGTAAAGATAGAGAAGGGAGGAGACAAAGGGGGAGGAATAGTGCGGGGAGTAGAGAGTAAGCGGGAGAAATCAAGGTTTTTAACATATAGATCTATAAACGATGATTAATTGCACAAATAAATTACAAAAAATGGGGATAGCATATAAAATCAAGCTTACATCTTCCCTCTCTCGTGTTCCCTCTGAGGGGAGTAAATCTTGAACCCATTCAACCTCAGCAACTCGATACCTATGTTTGGAATTGGAATAAGGCTAAATAAAAAGTCCTCTAATAAACCAAGCAAATAAATCCTCCCAATGTACATACTTATAAAGAACAAGTCAGAGCTGGAGAGGAAAAAAAAAAAAAAAAAAAAAAAAAAAAAAAAAAAAAAAAAAAAAAAAATTTTCAGGAAAAAGAAAAAGCATGACATACCCATCCTGATCCCATGATCGTAAGATACGAAATCTACGGCGACCTTCTACCTACATTAAGACATTTGTTATAGTCCAACAGGCAAGGAATTACCACTAGGAAAATGAAGGGCATGCAGAACAATGAGTAGAAAAAAAATTGTGGGTAAAACAAGCAATTGTCATACACACACCCACACACATTATTCAGCTCTATTAAAAAAACAATTGATTCTATGTTACTTTCTCAAAAGAAAAATTGAGCATTGAATAAAAGACTGCTCTGAAATTTTAGCCTTTTATGAGACCTTTATGAATTTTTTTGAAATTTTTTACAGATGCAATTCACAATGGTTCATTACCCCCTCTCGATTGTGAGTGAGATTTTTCAATTAAAACTAGATTATTCGATCTAAGGAGCTCTACTCTTAGTACCAACCATTTGAACTAATGGAAAGATTATGTTATTGGCTCAGATCGAATGATGTAAAAATAATGATAAATCCAATCAGGATATCATGATTTGATCATCTTGGGTTGTCAACAACAATAATCAACCCTACCTAACCAAACAATTATTATCAGCAACCATAGGCTGCATCATCCAATAAATTCTTGTAGATATAGTGTGAAAGCTCACAAAAGAAGAAAATTTTAAGCTGACCATAGCTGCTATAGAGCTTTGTGCACTATCTTATAGCATACAACTCATTGCATAGAAATTAGGGAAAATAAAGAATTTGTCCATAACTGATAACTCACACTAGTCTGACCAGTTATTACAGAAATTATTTAATCTTCATAAGGTTAAATATTAGAGATTAAGACCCATGACATTGATTTACATTTTGTAAAAAATCAAAAAAGAAATATAGCAAAACACAAGATAGATGGATAACAAAATGGCGCTTTCTTATTTGCTAGAGTAAAGAAGCTTGAAAATAGGGATGGAAGCTAATTCAATACAAGCATTGCAACAATTGATAGGTAATGTTTTAAAGGGTTCACTTATATTTTGGGATCAAATATGCAGCAAACAAATAATCTAATGAAACAAAAGAAATGTGCATTCCAAAAATGTAATCTTGAACAAAATGGAGAATAAAATGTCATGATATGCAATAGAGCAGGTGAAGATCAAAAGATGAAAATTTATTCTTTAAGGAGTATGAACATATTACCTCCAAGTAAAACCGCCCATCTGGCAGCGGTTCACACCTAAATTATAGCTTCAATATGAAAATTATAATTCATAAATCAAATGGAAAACAAAGGATAATTGGCCCTAACTCACTCAAGGATTTCCACTTCACAAGCAAAATCAGCAATTGCACCTGTTGTAGAATCTATTATCACCTGAAATAATAAAGAGAGAGCATCAGCAAAAGCCGAACTCACAGAAACACGTTTAAGAGAGGGCAATCCAACCATTCCCATGCGATGATTTCCCTCCATTATTCTTCTCACCTGCCACAGAAAAAGTAAGAGAATAATTATCCAGCAAAAGTTTCAAGGATAAGGGATGATGCACTGCAAAAAGTTCTTGAATAATCAGAGAATGTGTGTCACCTTAAAAACTGTAATAAAAAGTCATCAACTGCGAGTTAATGAAAGTTTGCAATGTACATCTAGCTCATAAAATATGAGGGACAAAAGGCAGCACACAAAAAAGGAGTCATAGAGCACAGCTTAAATATAAATTTCAAGGTACAAAAGAGCACAAATATTAAAATCAGAAGTTGCAAATGCCGAGCTTTGTCTTCACACATTTTGAAGATGTTAAATTCGCTATCCTGAAGTATAAAATGCTGCCATCTTCGTAAAGTAGCCTAATAATAAGCACAGATACATCTCTATAAACTCATTCATCTATAAGAGTCCTTAATTTTTTGTGGGAACTGCTGAGATAAGAAAGAAATTATGAAAGAAAGCCAGAAAACAGGAGATAATGATTCATATGCTTAAGTGAATGTCCCCATTTCCATGAGACGGTATAAAAAATTTACTCTAACAAAAATTTTATCCGTTTTGTTATCTTTCTCTTCTTTATACCACTACCCCTATTTTATCTCACACTCGCAGAAACCACATAATACTTTCTGAAACAGGAATACAGTGCATTGTATTATTTCTGTAGGAGTTTCAGAAACTTGGGTGTTTGCTCAAATGAATTACACAAGCAATAAAAAATTACCATGCATTTGGAATTCATTGAAATTCAGTGGATTTGGGTGAATTTCAAATACACCACTTTTTTTGTAAAGTGTTTGACGTGGTGCTTACCTTTTGTAGCTGGGGCTGTGCTAGTGTTGACCTCAATTTTTCGTGAGGTCTAGTATTCCTCGTAGGAGTTAGGATCTAGCCTTAGGGGTCTTCCTGCGACTATCTTAGAACCTTAGAAGTGGGACCCGTCTCATTTTAGTTCGACCTGCTTCCGTCCCTTTCTGGAGTTTCGCGTGTGTGGTATCAACTTCTAGCACTTAGAAGGACGAAACCAACATGAGGAAACCCAAAAGGGATTCCCTATAGGACCTTTCCGAGCCTTAGGGTGGCCTTCTGCACA